GTCAATAAAGTAAATTTATTTCATTTCTTATGTTCATGCTGTTTAAGCTTATGTTTAAGCTTCAGAACACATTCATTTACTTTGAGCCCTATATAAAATTCTAGTACAGAGGCTGTTGAAATACTGTATTTGGAAATTAGCAGAAAAATTGACAACTTTATTCCCCTTTTGTAAGAAACTCATTTTGAAGCAGCTCAAGATACAGTTCACAACAGAAAAGAACAAGAATCAATGGACAGAATCAAGTATATAATGCCCCAACAAATAGAAAGATGCCATTTCAATGCAATGTTTAAATCTGTTGCATTTACATTGCAATTTACCTGCTCAGAAAAAAAACCATCCATAGAAGTTATTCAACTACAAAAAGCTTTAAAATTATCAGTTAATGGAACATTTGGAAACAAATTGGTACTGTACATTAAATAATGTATAGTTGCACTATTCTCCTTGAATAGATGTCGCTTCATGAGTCCAAATGCAGAGACATATATCCAGGCGACATCTGACAGAAACACCAGAAAGCAACAAGACTAATGCCTAATTGAACTATCCCCCTCCAGTAGATGTCGCTTCATGGGCCCTACTCTAGATCCATACATTCAACAGGTGACACCTAACAGAAGTACTGTACCACAAAGCAAGGCCAAAGTTTACCAATGCAAGATTAAAAAAAAAAAAAATTCGCAGGACAAAATACTTTGATTTTCTGGCGTAGATTTTTTCGGCGACTTCTTCCGGCGGTTGAGGCACCGAAGGGCGAGGTTTGACAGTTGTCTCAGAAGGACGATGCGGGGATTTCGTTGGGGATCTCACAGCGGCGTCCCAAGCATGCGAAGTTGGCAACACTGGATACTGCAATTCAACACAAATGAAATTATGTTACAAGGAAAATTTAGGGATGATTTAGAAACTTCTCAAAAGTTCCCAACAGAACATCATATAATTTGAATAAGAACGTCGAAAAAAATTGCCATTACGCATATTTCAATATTAGAAAATAAAATATTAGAATAAAAGATATAAGATAGATAAATATTTATAAGATATATAATATAAGATAGATATTAAGTATCTATGAGATATTAGATATATTAGATAGATCCAATATATTAAATATTAGAATATTACAATGTTATATCGAATTAAATATCAGAAATTTCTGTTTATTTTCTCCACTGATAAAAATCCCCGAAAATGTTGCATTCGAATGAATTTACAACGGAGATACGATCAATAAATCCTTATTCTTCCTTAAAATCTTACACGCTGTTGAAAAAATTCCTTTAAAATTATTTTCCGGGAAAATCGCGAGACTATCAAGAAATTTCCCTTGATACCGTTAATCTCCAAGCAACACGCCTTGACATTTCATTTGTTCTCTCCATTGATGAAAAGATCAACAAATTTTCGATGAAAATTAATTTACAGCGGAATGAATCAAAGAGTTTCTTGTTATTATTTAAAAAATTGTCTACTGTTGAAAGAAGAATTCCACTTCATGTTTTTTTTTTAAAGAATTCGCGAGAATATTCAACAAACAAACAAAAAATCCCCTCGAATGCCATAAAAATCCCAACAATCCAATACAATCAACGACATATCACTAGCACCTTTTGCGTGCCCTGCGACAAAATCAACAGCTTCTGTCGCAACAAGTCCCCGGCACAGGCCATTACTTCGTTCCCGCGCAGGTCCACAAGTACCAGACTCGTGTTGAGTGACACCAGGGCCTCCAGGGCACTCACACCCCTCTTGTCGATCCCGCAATTGACCATGTCCAGGGCCTTGACGGCGTCGCTGTCGTGCAAACTCTCGGCGATGCAACGAAACGACGCTGAACCCAAATTGGGACAGTCGACGAATGATAATCTTTTAATGCCGCTGAATCTTGGAAGACGCTTGGTGAACTGGTGTCTTTCTGCTGCATTCGTCCTCACAGCTTGTTGATGCTGGAAATTAAAAGAAAAAAAATATATATACTGTACATATATATAAGAGAAAAAAATGTAAGGTTGGAACAGTGATGAAAATAAATAAATAAATATATATATATATAATAAATGAGAATATATATAAGAGAAAAAAATGTAAGGTTGGAACAGTAATGAAAATAAATCATAGGATGGATCATGACTTTTTCCAATTATTATACATTATATATACAGTTTATATATATATATATAAATTGAAAAAGATTATTAAATAAATATAAATATATCATATATTTATTATTATTATTATGCATTTATTTCCAATTATTATACAGTATATATACAGTATATATAATAATGATCCATATTGTTATCCAAAAACTATTTTACAGAAGTTGGTGATCAACAATGATCAGTCATTGAGAGCTACTTCTTAATAATTAAAGGAAAAGAGGATCGGAGATTTAAATCGTTTTCCTTGACTTTCAAAGGAAACGCAAAAGTTACTCCGTGAGAGTATTTCAAGTAATATTTATTCTATCTTCACACACAGTCAATACAACAATTCTACAGAGAGCAAAGCGGCGTGGACTTGGCATTTGGACAAGGTCTGGTGCAGTAAACTCAATGCAACATAAAATGCACCTGTATACATAGCTTCAGCCGGCCGAGGTCAAAGAACGCGCATAGAAACCAATTTGGATCGGGGACGTCATGCTTTGTTTATTTAAAGGAAGGAAGCGTGAGCGCAGTTGGGAAAGTATTCTGTCAACAACGGGATTGTGAAATATAATTGCTAGCGCACCAGGCGCAGCCAAGCGTAGCAGAAATACATTAGCTTAAAAGGGTCGTGCGTAAAGTGAAGGGTGTTGTGGTCGTTAATATGACAACAATATATATATATAATGATGACATGATCCATCCTATAATTTATTTTTATCNCGTGCGTAAAGTGAAGGGTGTTGTGGTCGTTAATATGACAACAATATATATATATAATGATGACATGATCCATCCTATAATTTATTTTTATCACTGTTCCAACCTTACATTTTTTCTTTTACTTTTATCTAATGCTAGGGTTGGATCATAAGTTTTCAGATTTTTTGAAATACTGTAGATCAAATGGAGTTTCAAAATTAAATAAAAAACAATCATTTCACTCCAATATAGACCCATCATTTGGCAACACTTCACTGCTGTTCAACATAATCTCTCCCAATCTCAATGCATTTGTCATGCAATAAATCCAAGGATCAAAACAGTGCCAAACATTGAGTCAACAGCACTGAGGAGTGAGTGCTTGCCTATCAATTGGCAACTCCAAGGATCAAAACAATAAATTTAAGGATCAAAATCCAATTAATCCAAGGAACAAAATCCAATAAATCCAAGAATAAAAATCCGAAAAATCCAAGAATCAAAACAGTGCCAAAAATTGAGTCAACAGCACTGAAGAGTGAGTGAGTGCATGCCCTTCATTTGGCAGCTATTAAATTGAGTAAAGAGCACAGAAGAGTTACCAAATGATGAGCAAGCACTCACTCACTCACTATTCAGTGCTATTGACTCAATTTTTGGCACACTTTTTTTAAACCTAATTTTTGAGTCAACAGCACTGCAGAGTGAGTGAGTGCTTGCTCATCATTTCGCAACTCTTCAGTGCTCTTGACTCAATATGTTGCACTGTTTTGATCCCTGGTTTTATCGCACAAAAAATACATTGAAAAGGGCAGAGATTATGTTCAACAGTAGAGAAGTGTTGCCAAATGATGGCAACACATGACTCCATGGCATCTATTGAAAAAAATCCTTAAAACTCATGAACCAACCCTTGTACAATGAAGAAACCCACTATATAAAAATTGAAAAAATAAATAAATAAAACCTCAAAACTAGGAAAAAAGAAATAAAACTTAACACCAGCACTCACTAGTATCAATCCAACGATCGGATTGGCCCTGGTAATTTTTCTTCCTGAAAGGCTTTACACCGAGTCTGACTGTACCAAGAAGTCCCGGAGCGTTTAAAAGAGGTGCCGGAGCAGTAGGTCGTACGTTAAGAGTTTGCGGTTTACGAAGTTGCTGCTTGAGGAGCGTTGTGGGAATAACGTGTCAAAAACACAAAAAGAAACGTCGACAATTTCAGAATGTTTTTTTTCTCTCTCAACAAATGTCATCAACTAGGAAAAAGTTTTAAATTAAAATAAATTGAAAAAATTCCAATTGAATAAGAATACTTGTTTTTTTTTTAATTTTCAAGTTTTTTTCATGCATTTTTAATTAAAATTTTTATAGTCATAAATTAAATAAAATATCTTCTTTTTTAAATTTCATATTCAGCTTTGGAAAATCAACTCACAGAAAAGATTGATCGCATAAATCCAAGAATAATTGTTTTTTTTTAATTTTTCAAGTTTTTAAATACATTATTACTTGAATTTTTTATAGTTAAATTGAATAAGAAAATCTATTTAAAAATTTATTTTCAGCTTTGAAAGATCAACTCACAGAAAAGATTGATCGCATAAATCCAAGAATAATTGTTTTTTTTTTTTAATTTTTCAAGTTTTTTTTTTCATATATTATTAATTAAATTTTTTATGGTTAAATTAGATAAAAAAATTTATTTTCAGCTTCGAAAGATCAACTCACAGAAAGGATTGATCGCAACAAAGAAGCTTGTCCAAGATCCACTCGAACCAGGTCCAAGTCCAGGAGTTGTTTCGATCGAACAACACACTCAGTCAAAGCTTCCACCAACAGCCTCACGTTCAAAGCAGCTGCAAAAAATGAAATAAATAAAAAATAAACTGTTTTAAATTTATTTCATGAATATAAAGGATTTCTTTTACTGTACTGTACTGCTATTCTATGAACGGCGGAGCAAAAAAGGATGTATTCATTTTTTGCACACAAAAAGAAAATCACATCTCATGAACAGCACATACAATTTTATACCACATTCAAAACATGTTCTTGTAAACATCCTTCATTCACAAATTCGATCAATTTTCTCATGATTCCAATTTAATTTTAAATTTAGGCGCACAAGCACAAAAAAATGTACTGATTACGAAAAGCAAATCAATTTATTTTTCCTTAAATATTAACAGATGGACAATAAAATATGACAAGTGAAAATTTCTTGAAATACGTAAAGGCACTAAAAAATAAGGTAAAATATATCAAGTGAGATGGTATCCAATGTTATTCAAAGTTTTGAAATATTTTATACATTGCTCTTTTTTACGAATTTTCCCATCAGTTATGGATGCAAATATTCCACTCATTTGCTCTCACTGGATTATTAAAAAAAATAAAATAAAAGGTAAATAAGGAAGAAAACAAAAAACCTCCACAATTCAGGCATGACAGGTTCAAAAAATTCAATACATTTGCTTCATTCTTTCAAATATATTCATCCAGGTTAAATAAAACGTCACCATGAATTTGTCATGAAACTCAAAAATTATAAATTAAATAAATCAAAATTTAAATACTTTTTTAAATTACTGAAATATTTCTCCTTCAAATATTTCCTCAACCCTTCACAAGGATTTAAAACAAACACACAAAAAACGAGCAAATAATGTAAACCAAATTTTTCCTCAGGCTCTGTATTTATTATTTTATTCTGCACAATATTTGAAAAATGAAATAAAATAAAAATACTCACCATTACTCTGAAGCCCAGACTTTGAAAAGATGCAAATCCGAGTGAGATCCGAGGCGCAAGACAAGGCCTTCATCAAGGGCGGCCAAGCACAAGCTCCAACCACACGGTCCAAATCCAACCGCAACTCGGTATAACAAACATTCTCATACACTGACTTCAACACGTCCTGTCCCACTGAAGCACATTCAATCGCATACTGGTCCCGAAAAGACACGTATCGAGGCATTATATTGCTTCTCTGAAAACGCGAAAGCACACAATTTATTCTCAATTAAAATAATAAAAAAGAAGAAAAAGAATAACAAAAACACAACGTCCGCATAAATTTGGATACTCTGCTGTTGTGCTTCGGATAATGGACTTTTCCCAGATTCATCATTATCTTAAAATATAAAAAAAAACAAAAATTCAAGATGAGGTGCACAAAATAATTATTCAACAACTCAAACTCAACAAAGGATTGACTGCATTCAAGAACTTATGAGGAACATTTTTCATCTTAAATTTCAAGTAATCTTCAAATTTCAAAGACATTAATTTTTCTCATGTACTGTATTATTCTCAATTTACTAATTTAAAAAATAAGGTGATTTAAAAATTGGTTGATGAGACTTTGATACAGAAATAACCAAGTAAAGTACATTAACCGAAACAAAACTCGCAGACAAAAAAAAACGAAGAACACTTGCATAATTTCGGCAAATAAAATGGAAAACAAACGGCCTTTTTGAGTGTATCACACACAAAAAAAATTCTCAGAAGGACGCCACTAAAATAATTTGAAAACATTCTCACTGAGATCCAAAAAAATGTTTATGGTTTCCATTGACCCACACAAAAAAAAAGGATAAAGAGAGAGATAAATATCGAATCACGCCTAAAACTCTGGTTTTGCACTCACTCATCATACATTTTGACACACACACAAAGTTTGAAGCCAAGTGTGAAGTATGCAGAAAATCCTTCAGGAGAAGTTCCCCCCCCCCAAAAAAAAACACACAGGGAAAATTTAAAGCCATTTTAAAAATGTTGACAAAATACAATGAAAGGCAATCCCAAGTCCCATTCTGCTGAGTTTGGACCCGTCAATTTCAGATAATAATTGAAAAATGTTTCTTGTCAGAGTGGGTTTGTTGGGCAAACATGCCAGGTATAGTAATGTACTCAATTCCTAAAAGTAAAAAGTATCCCCCCCCCTCCTCAGCAACCTCAATCATATCTTTCCCTGTTCTGATTGTAACAGTAAAGCCTATTGAAGGTTAATTATTATTGGTAGTATATAAGCTGCTCCCTTTTATCAAATCATCATCAGTTATCAGAATCAGTTTATCAATTGTGTCACTCAAATTATTCAGCAAGTTGAGTTTGAGACTGAGTTGTTTATTCACTTATTCCTTGAAATATACTTTACTCTTTAAACTAGGAATTCCTAAACGGAATCCTGGTCCTGTCCCAGACTGAGTAACGTGTTTCATTATTACTTTAAACTAGGAATTCCTAAATGGAATCCTGGTCCTGTCCCAGACTGAGTAACGTGTTTTATTATTGCTGAATCAGCACTTGACATTAAATTATATTGAGGCACAAATTATATTGTCCCCAATAGTGCTGAACTTGAAAAAATTTCAGAGAAATAGACCCTTCCAATTTTTGAAATTTATCCATTTTCTAAAATACCATGCAATTCTGTTCCACAAAAAAATGCAACAACAGAAATACTTTGACCCAAAAGGGATCAATATAATCCCTAGAAAAGAGCCAAGACTTAATTCTGAATGTTCAAGATTTAGTATGATTTTCAAACATCATACTTTTTATATAATGTATTTGCACCTCTTTAGATATTGCATAAAATGCAGAGAGTAACCAACGAAAATTTGTTCAATTTTTGTACAAAACATTCTTAAAGTTTGAATTTTCAGGGAAAAAACAATCTTATTGAAAAATTTCCTTGCATGCACTTCCCTGTTTTCCACATGTTCCAAACTCTCTAGTCCTTCTTCATACTTAAATACTTCATATCTGTATTTGGATTTGTGCACAAATTCTTTTTACTGACTTTCTAGAGTTTTTTGTCAACTGTGTCATTTCTTTGTCACCAAATCACACAATAAATGCTCATTTGAAAAACTGGGGACATATATTCATTGTGCCTCCTTGAATAGAAGTTCTTGGCTGCAAACCAGCTGACTGCATATTGTTTTACTTGATACTCTCTTTACACTCCTTCTACATCTTCACATATTTCATATCTATGTTTAGATTTGGAGTTGTGCACAAATTCCTTTTCCTCAATTGTGTAGTGTTCAATGTTTAATTTCCTAAATGTTTAATTTCCTTTCCAACAAATTATACAATAAATGATTCTTTTAAAAAACTTGGAACATGTATTCAATGTGTCTCCTTGAATATATGTTCTTGGATGCTGTGACAGAATAATTTGGTACCTTAACATACTGCTATACTCACACACTTACAATTGAGAACATACAGAAATACTCAAATTGGAATTCTGTTAGATGATTGTGAGAAATTCTCTTACTTTCCTTGAAAATATTCCCCTACTAATTTTATTCTCTCAGGATTTAATCTACTAAAGTTAAAGGGGGTTTAGAGAATGCTCCAAATGTTGCAAAACATAACCTGGCCATCCCATAAACATTGATTATGGTCAAAAGATTATCACCCTGAAACTTAGTCAGGTCCAGTTTTGTGGGCTATGGCTGATAATGGGAGGTACCAAAAAATGTTGGGATTTGGCACAGGAAGAGAGCAATTCTGCTCTTTATAGATTTTTTTATGGAGTCATAAAGTTGCTTCTCCTCAAAAACTTGTTTGTGCAAATGGACAAAAGAATCTCCACTAGCCCTTGTGCTGTGCTTATTTGTGCACTTTGCAAGTTTGGCATGGATGGATCCAAAACACAGCAAGGAGGAAAGACACTTGAACTCCAATAAAAGATTTCCAATTTATATTTTGATAGATAGATTTCAAGAGGATATTAGAGGATCGTACATAATTTGGGAAATACTCTCAATGATTCTACTGGATTATATAACTAATTATTTGCTTAACAATTTATTAAATCTTTATTAAATTATTTTTACTGATAAAAAGTATTGATAGGAATTGTCTGTGTTTAATTCAATCAAGAAATGATACTTAAATATGCTTTTTGTTGTTGTTAAAAAAAAAGGTTCCCATGCCACAAATTGAACCCAGGCCTTCTGGGTGAAAGCCAGACATCAAATAAACCTTGTTCAAAGTAAAGGCCTTAGAAGGTCTGAATTTTCTCATAAAAATTTGGAATCATCATGCGACCTTTATCTGCCAGGAGTGTGCATCTTTAGAAATTGGAGTTGATTTATTCTGTGATTTTTATCTTATGAACAATATACCTGATCAATTATTCCAATTTGTTGCCAGTTTATTCCGGGAAAGTCAATCACCTAATTTTAGAATTATGTGCCAATCCGGATTGTTTGAAACCCGTGACTTTGTCAATTTTGAAAGATCCAAGTTCTTTCAGATGGTAGCCATGTTAATTGCATACTAGAGATTTTAATCTGTTCCCTTCAGGGGTTTCCACAAATCAAGTGCAGCAGAACAGATTGATACAGATGTACAGTGTATTCTTTTGACTGCAAAGGTTATTTTTATCAACTGTGTTTGGTGTGTTTGAAGAAGTGTGTAAATCTTGGGGTTTAATCAAAATACACTTGTATCTTTCTCTTTTGGGATTTCATAAGAAAATCCCCAGCTGCACCCCACAGCTGATTCTGTGTTTCATTTTCAAAGTTGCAGAAATTTTTGCCTCCTTTTGTGAATATCACTCACAGCTGCAAACCAGCTGATTATCTGTTGTTTCATTTGTTTCACTGCAGCTTATATTATGAGCTCTTTGGTTGGGTTAAATTAATTAAAAAAATTGCAGGAGCTGGAAAAAAGTTGAAGCTGTTACAAATTTGAAAACAGAAAGAAGTTGAAGATGCACTCTCTGAAAAAAATATATACTGTAGTGTAGGGGAACCTCTTGACAGTTCCCTCAAAGACCAGTGAAGGTTAATTATTCTGGTTAACCTCATTACCTTCTGGAATGAGATGCAGTAGCTTATTCTGAACCAAAGAGAGCATAATAAACCTATAACCCCTATTACTGGTGGCAGAGGTTCTCTTTCAAGTAGCCTGCCCCAAATATTACTCATGTCCAACCCTGTACCTGGCAACATCCCTCCCCTCACCTGGGACTCCTTCCAGGATGTGGCCATTGCCACCTTCCTGTGGTCAGGCCTGCACCACTGCCCTCTCTTGGGCTGGGAAAGTGACCTGGCTGGAGGCTAACCACATATCATTGGTTTTTGTAGGGTTGCACAGTACAAATTACATTACATTGTACAACTGCACAGTATAACATGGTCACAATTACAGCTTTCCTATACAGCCTCTTATTTCTTTAAACATATTCTACATAATAGGATTATCAGATACCTTCATCATCATAATTTGTTCAATTGAGAAAAATAAGAATTGATAAAACTCACTTGAAAATGTCAATGCTTTGAAATGTCATTCAAATATATTTTGGAAAGAGGAAATCCACTATGGTCCAGAATGTTTTAATTTTAAACATTCTTCTGGAAACTCTTTCTAGTTTGGCCCATTTTACTGATGAAAAAAAAACTGAAAAAAATTTTCCAACTTTCAAATTTTTTCTCAAATTGAAATTTTTTTGACCTTTTGTGAAAAATTAAACATTTCTGAAGAAATGACAGGGCATGTCCATCATACACTTTCAAAGTGACCTTGTTCACAATAATGGAGGGAGGGGGTTGAAATACTGCACCAACCCACTTCCCTGTCTTTAGTATCCCTCTGCCTTTCTGCAATTGAGTGCACCCCTATTCCACTCCCCCTCAACCAGCTGGGTTGGGTCAATTGTCATGTGTGTGGGTCTGTTGCCATGGGGACCAGAATAATATCCCTTATAACCCAGGGTTGGGTACATTTTCCTGTCAGGACTCAGATCATGAGGATTTCTGTTGGGAAAACTGCCAGTGAAGTGTGGATCAAGTGTAGAAATATCTTGAAGCATTTCATTGTATACAAATTACCAAGTTTTTTTTTTTACTCAGGTTCAAAGGCATGCACCTAGTGTGATTCTTTTGCACTTGAAGTGCACTTGTTCTGCACCAAGAGTGCATTAATTGTTACTTAATCATGCTCATTGTGAGTGAAACATCATAAGATTTTGA